GAAAAAATCCTACAGACCTTGCAGGGTTTGCGTATTGAGATATCTTGTGTATTACAAGTGATAACAGGAAGGAAAAAATTCCGCAGGCTATGCAAAGTGAAGCATCTGCGAGATATATCGCATGAACGCATGTAAAAGTTCCTGCATGGTGTGCCTAGAGAAGAATCCTCCAGGATCCTGCAGAAAAGAAACTTGAAAAGTGAGCGTGTTAAAAAATCCTGCTCAATTATACTCACCAACTTGCAGGAAAATTTCCGGCGAGGTAACGTGATGTAAAAACTTGCAGTATATATCCAACATTCACAGGATTTTTTCAGATTCCTGCGTGTAAACGCAGGAATTCGTAAATTTTTTTTTCAGTGGGCAGCAGAGGACATCATTAACATATGTACTAGTGTTAAGATTAAACTAATGATTTCGTCAAAGAAAAGCAAGATTACAAGATTCTATTCTGTTTCAAGAAAATCAAGAAATGTCCTTTTTGTGTTTATAGTTTCGTTTCAGTACTTTCGTTGTTAAGGCTACAATCAATCTCAACACTCTCCCCCTCTTTATAGTAGATCTTTAGTATATAGATAGTGGATTTATGTTCGACGCGTTGGTTTATACCATCGAGTTTCTGGTGTGGTAGCGTGCAATGCTAGTTTTAGTCTATTTCGGTGGACTAAATCTGGTTTTATCTGTCCGCTGACGTCCTCAAGCTGAAAAGTTCCTAGAGAAAATACTTTTCTTATTTTGAATGGTCCTAACCAATACGGATGCATCTTCTTCCTCTGTTCATGCTTTACAAGCACCCAATCATTTGTTTTTAACTGATTAGTGTGTTTCACATGTTTATCATACTGAATCTTCATCTTGATAGCATTTTCTTTCAATTTTGTTGTGACTCGTTCCCGTTCGACCGCTAAATTATGTAGTTGGTTCAGACGGCTAGTTGTATTAATCGTTGTATTTCCACGATCATCAAGTATTGGCGTTAATTCATCTCCAGGAATCTTAGGTTCAACACCATACACCATAAAGAACGGTGTTCTACCTGTTGACTGATGAACACGTACCCGGCATGCAAATAGAGCTTGATCAACGAATTCATCCCATTTCGTTGTTTTTCCTTGGATATATTTTCTTAACATGCTGATAAATGTTCTCTTAAACCTCTCAACAGTACCATTTGTCTGTGGATGCATTTCGATTAAACTTTTTAATTCCATTGTATACATCAGCCACATAAATATTTCCCAAAGAATCGACAATAACTGATACCGGATAAGATAGTAATAATTGATCTTTACTTATAATTGTGGTTCCTACCGTAGTCCCTACAGACCATTTTTGAATTCTATAATTATTATGATCGGCGATATAAATTGTGCCATCACGCTCATCAACACATATATCGTAAGAATATGATAATTGAGATGAAGAATAACCTGGACCATTTCCACCCTATTTGGAAAACAGATAAATATTATCTCATTATACCCTGAATTAACTATGACTATGAAATTTCTCACATAGCTATCAAAAAGGGTATATATATTTAGCACTAAAACGAACTCACAGCAACAACTATTCCAAATGCTGTATTTTTAAACCACTTCACTACACGATGATTGTTTGTGTCGCATATATAAACAATTCCATTCTTGTCGACATAAAATGAGGCAGAAAAATTAAGTTGTTTAGTTGAATTCTCTTCACCATTT